TATGATCAACCTCCAGTCACTGCTTTGCCAAAATTTGTCGTATCTCTCTATGTAAGCCTCTTTTTCCGATCAACTATTGTGGGTCGGATTTTTTTGGGTTGATGAACCATCCAAACTGACCCAATGTAAACTAAAAACGCTAGGGTCTTAAATATTTCGGGTGGGTTTGGGTTGAGATTTATTAAACACGACATATAAGGGTCAAGTGGTCATAATGGTCCAAAACGTACCCACCCCATTGACTCGTTCTGACTATCACAATAAAATCTCGACTAAGGTCCAAGTATAAATCTTAGATGGGTGCAATATAGGGCAAGTATGTTTAAATATCAACCCGGACCGGCCCATATACAACTACTTCGATTGTTTGAAACATTATCTAGCGAATTAGTTTTGGTGAACACAAAGGTCTAAGCTAAATTACTTTGCAAAGATGAAATGGTTTTGACACTAATTGAGAGGGCTTCACCCGGGTGTTGCTCCCCCTAGCTAACAATTACGACTTGAATGATCGAATGACCGTGTGTGGTTAGGGGGTTATAAACCGCAGGGAAGTTTACAAGTAGTCAAGGCTACCCTCTTAGTTTCTAGGTCGAGGAAGTGGGATACAATCCAAGCTACTAATGCGATCCTCTCAACCTATTGAATAAGGAATGGTTGTCAAACAAGTAGCCAAAGTTATCTTTTTAGTCATTAGGTCGAGGAAATGGTATACGATCCAAGCCACTAATGCGACCCTCTCAACCTATTGACTAAGGAATGGTTAGACTTCACCCTCGAATTGGAGTTCGGACGGCCACCCACAACCAAACCCGAAGTGCTAATACGAAATAGGAGGTTTGCCCTGCATCAACGCAAATAGGAGGCAACGAATTAGCCAAGAAAACCCAACATTCAAGCCTCTTTCAAAGAAAGAAAGTGGGGTTTTCTCTCTACCTAGGTTATAAGGGCAATTAGATTGATAGGCTTTCACACAACACAATCATTCATGAATAATACCTCCACATTCACATTAAACACAACCACACACAAATCATTCAATTCATACAAGCATTCACATAATTGTAGCTAGGGTTTACAAACACCCAAGTGAAAGAAGGGACTACTCCATGCTATGAGAAAGGAAAACACAAGGGAGAAGAAAGAAAATCATCAAAAAGATGCTAGACTTGCTCCTTGTGTTGAAGAGATCCTGCTTTGGGGAAGGAATTCCCAAATCCTTGCTTGGAGATGAAACCCTAGTTTCTCCTCTTCTTTGGTTTGTCACTTTCTCACTCTAAAATCTGAAGAAGAAGAAGTTTATCACATTAGGTCCCTCCCTTCTTTCTTTCAGCTGGCTCTTTATACTGAGATCGAGCCCAGTTCACGGTCGTGAACATCAAAACGCGCCAGAGAGCACAGTGTGCTGAACCAAAATGCACCGCTTCACTTCTTGGGTTCACGGTCTTAGCGACCGTGAACAACCTTGGCGCTAGTAACCTCAAAACCCTCTCTAGACGCTCCTTGTTTCACAGATTGTGGTTCTAGTTCACGGTCCTGGAAACCGTGAACTCCAATGGCAGACCGTGAACACATGTTGTCTCCTCCTCTTTGCCCGGTCTTTGCTCCTTTTCTTCCAACTTTCGACTTCGGGGTTGGTTTCACCTGTTAGGATTTGAAAACACACTGAAACATAAGAAAGCTCGCGTAAAACCACTCCTATTGGAGTTCAATTACAACAAACGCCAAAGAGAAACAGGGATAAAAAGTGTACAATTAGTCTTGAATCACCAACCCATGTTCATCCCTAGTTATCGGACAGAAAAAAGAAGATGGATTAGGAAGAAAAAAATGTCGAATTAGTTCTGAAATTGGATAGAAATTCTATTATGGAGAAGATTATCGGGTGCAGTAAACTAAGAAAAATCATTCAACGGAGAAAAGAGAGGTGATTTGGGCACAAGAATTCGAGGAAAAAATAAAGGGGAGAAGAGGGCTCAAGATAGGGTGCATAACTATGAATAACCAAATCTGGACCCTTCTTTTAAGTGGCTGCAAATCTAAGGGTGGAGAATTAAAAAAATTTATTTTCCCTAGTTTTCTTGATTGGATCATATCTTCTTCATTCTAACTCGGATTTCAATTTTTTTTGCACAGATGAAACGAGTATGTTCTGCTCTACAAGATGATATCCATTTTCAATATTTTTTGGAATTTTTTTTCATACATCTCGTTACCAACTCCATACCATATGGTATCTCCTTCGTTTTTAGTTGTTTTCATAAATTTTTGCACAGAAGGAACGATTTAATCATGATCTATTGGATTTCAAATTTTTCTGGGTGAAACAATTCCATACCTCTCGTTACCAACTTCATACCATACTATACCACACTGGTATATGGTGGTATTTTTCATACCACAAGGTTACTCACTGGATCTGCTACCGGAGAAGAGGTAAGTGGAGATTTGGAAGATTGGCTCTAAGATTCAATCTCCAGAGTAGCCCAGTTTCCGTTAGCATCTCCACCCTCCAGCGCCAACGATTTTGTTCTTTTTTCATTGGGTTGATCGGGTCACCCGTGCACCCGCCACCCGACGGATGTCTCCCAGCACAACCTGTCACCCAACCATTAACCCACCCACATAACGAAATTCGAGTCAAATGCGAGCGGATCAGCCCATACCCGCGGATGACTCGCCCGCATGCCCAACCATATTTAGTAGCTCTTCACGATGTAATTTGTTGGTGTCGTTCTTCAGGAGTTTCGTCGTTTTTTTTTTTTGGAGTATCCCGAGTTCAGTACTCAATTTGTTGGTAGGAAAAATAACACGATAGTTCTTTTGGTGACTAATAATATCCTGTAACAATTTGTGGGTTTGATTTTCGCAATTGGTTAATTTCAGAGTGTTTGACGTTGTACCTATATTTTTCCCGTAATTCAAATGATCGTTTGGTAAAAAAAAGGGGACATCAATTCAAATAATAAAATTTATAAATTTCTAACTTCCAAATAAACTAGCACATTTCTTATCTATCGTTATGCGGGGAAAAAAACATAACCGTTCAACCTTCGACTCATATTAATAAAGTTTCGATCTCGACACCACAGACGGTGTACTGCTTCAACATTGTTTGATTATAAGTCTTGACTTGTGATGTTGTAACTTGTAACTCTTCTTTAGAATTCGTAAAATCCTTCATGCACAATTTGTACCTACACGATTCCATGGTCTGTGTAGCTTGTTTTTATTTCTTATCATATTCATAAAATAAACTATGTGATTCTTATCTATAAATCAAACCTTCAATCTAATAATACCACAATACCTAATCTAATATATAGCTAGTATTGCTTTATCAGTTAAATTTCACATTCACACGTACAAAAACTTTTAGAACTCAATGGTAATCAATTGTGAGTGACTGCCTATTATGAATCATGTTTTATGTTGCATAAAAGAAATCATTCAAAACGTTGCATGGAGACTCTTCCTTCCTCTGTCACTGAAAATAAAAATTTTCTTTTCACTCTAGAAGCGGGACTATGAATCGCTTATTTTGTACCATACTGACGGTTGATGCACAATAACCTACACCCACAAAATCCCAAAAACTTTGATATGAATAGCTTCTTATAACTAGGGGTGTTCAAATGGTTACTGTGGTAATAACCAAACCAATTAAGCCTATATTTCATTAACCGTGGAATAAAATGTCTTAACCAAACCGTCCAAATTAACACGAAAACCAAATTAACCAAACCAAAGTTTAATTGGTTTGGTTAATCGGATAATCGGATTAACCAAATAACATAACCATGATTATCATCATCGTTCGAGTTAATGCATCATTCATCATCTCTGCACCTAATATAGTTAGCTTACAACAAACCCTTAACATAAATATTAAATACATACCCATACCACTCATCAGGCAGTTAAAGCTCTCCTACAAAATACTTAAACTATGCATAGTTTGAGGTGGCTGTCATGGTATTGTACGTAATCCTAAAATCTAGTAGTTGTCCAAAATGTTTTGGTTTAGTAAATAGGTAGACCCATTTAATTTTTTACGCATAATGTTTTGGTTTGTTGTGCACATGGAAATAAAATAGGGAATCACGAAAGTTTGGTTTGGTTGGTTGCATGGAAGTATAAATAATTTTGTATATTTTTTTGACAGAAACCTGCTTATCTTATTAAGAGATCAAATTGTCCTTCTCCATATGAGAAAGGAGAAACATGGGGGGCCTAAGAGCCCAAGACTCAGAAGAATCCCAGTTACAGTTTGAGTGGGCCAGTAGATGGGCCGGTTCGTTCCCTGTTCTCTTCGTAAAGCTCCACCGGATCTGGCCCAAGGACTCGGCCCGCTCCTTTAGCTCCCTCGCGACAACACCTGCTTCCATCCTCGAATCTTCCTCACCCTTCATTTTCTGGATAGCATTCTGGCAATCGCTCTCCACCACCGCCGGTAAGAAACCATGGTGTTCCACCATCTGCAACCCAAAATCCATAGCCCGGAGTTCGGCTATTTCCGGCGGCCACTGCCTTCTCTCCCGCCGAACCGCCGCGAGCAGAAATTTTCCCGTTTCGTCACGAACCACCAGCCCTAGCCCTGTACCCTCCCCGGCCATCACCGCGGCGTCCAGATTCACCTTCACCCATCCTTCTGGCGGCTTCTCCCAGGTACATTTCTCGCTCGAATTAGTTTCTTGCTCCTTTGAGTGGTGGGATTTGTACTCCTCCCAAAAATCTAAAGCCTTCCCTATGATCGCCCATTCCTCAGCCTTCGGTTTATTGAACATTTGATTGTTCCTTTCATTGGTTAATTGGTTTCATTGGTTCGTAGTGTTGAAACCAAACCAAACCAAACCACCTAAACCAAATAAACAAAAAAAATTAACCAAACCAATTATCCAAATTAACCAAATCAAATTAATCGAATGCTACCGGTTAATATAGTTACCATGGTAACCGATCCGTTTGAACACCCCTGCTTATTACCCATTAAATATTTCATCTGCAACCACTAGATCTTCATCCATCCCCAATTTCACAACTCACAAGACTAGTAGTAATCATGAACTTAAACCCAACTTCAAGATGTGAACAAGAAAAAGAGAATGATACGTTGCCTCCCACAATTAGACAACTTTTGATTCTTTCCCTGCAATTGAATCCTTCTTGAATTCCTCATCAGGTCATCCAAACTCCCTCAACCTTTTCCCCTCTCCAAAAACCAAACACGACTATCTACTAGTTCTACTCACTTCCCAAATCTCCCAACTACGTGTATCTCTCTCTCTCTCTCTCTCTCTCTCTCTCTCCAGAGAAACACACAGAAATGTCCCGCCACCCCGAAACCAACCCTCATTTCGTCCGGCCACTCCAACCGCCACGCCGCGACGGCCACCGCCGTTCCACCCCACCACCGGTACTGATAACTCCTCCGGTCAGCGGCCCAGCCACTCCTCCTCCCCCGCCGCACCACCACCGCCAGCAGGAAGCCCCCGACCCAGGCAACCAGCACTTCCCTCTCCACGTCGACGACGAGTTACTCCCAACCCACAACAGGCCCTCGGGCCCAATCCGCCACCAGGAACGCAGACAGTTTCGCAGCCCATGGGCCATACCACCACATCACCCGCAGCATCTTCCTTCCCAGCCGGCCCACGGCCCAGCCCACGACGGCCACTACCAAAGCCCATGGGTACCCCCGCCCTCATCCCACCCGACCCACGACCACGGCCCGCTCGTCACCGATCCCCACCGCCACGACTCCCAAGAGCAACCGCCGCAGCATCCACAACCACAACCACAACCGCCGCCGAAACATCCACGTCACCACCGCAAGCATCCGCCTCCGCACGACGGCGTCGGCCACCGGCGGGAACGGCGGGGCCCCGTGGTGCCGTCGCCGCGGAGGACCAAAATCACGACGTGGTGCGCCGCCGTGTGCTGCGCGATCTTCTGGATCGCGATCTTCCTCGGCGGACTGATCGTCCTCGTGGTCTACCTCGTCTACCGGCCGCACAACCCGCGGTTCGAGGTCTCCGACGCGACGCTGAACGCGGCGTACCTCGACGCCGGGTCCCTGCTCAACGCCGACGTCTCGGTGCTGGCGAATTTCACGAACCCTAACCGGAAGGTCGGAGTCGATTTCGGGAGCCTGATCGTGGATCTCTACTACGGGAGCACGCTGATCGCGACGCAGTTCATCCAGCCGTTCTCCGCGAGCCGGGCCGGGTCGCGGTTCGTGAACCTGGAGCTGGTGACGAGCCAGGTCCGGATCCCGCTGGAGGACAGCAAGAAGCTGGAGGAAGAGATCGAGAAGAATACGGTGACGTTTAATGTGAAGGGTGTGTTTCGGGTTCGATCCAAGCTCGGCACGTTCCTTGGGTATTCGTATAAGCTCTACGGTCATTGTACGATCGTCACGACTGGGCCTCCGAGTGGGATCTTACGTGGAAGACGATGCATTACGAAGCGATGAAATTATTACAAGTTTAATACAACCAATTTTGGGGTAGTTTCATGTCTGATTGATTCATTGACGACAGTAAAATGTAATTGACATATCGTTTCGGTTAACTATTTTTCTGTTAACTTTATCCAGTGGTGATGCTCGTCGTCTGTGTAGTACGAAATACTATGCGTTATTGCTCGCATTCGTTACTACGAATAACTTAGTGTCAAACAATAAACCAGTATGGAAGAAACTGAAATTCCAGACTACATTGCAATCTACCACAATTGGGGAGGGCTGTCGAGAAACCCCTTTGGTTTTTATCTTTCCCCTAAAATACACAATAGTATACAGATAGATGCCTTTGGACTTTGGTAACATTACACTTACAGTTGCAGGTTTCAAAACACTTTGTATTCGTCAGTGATTGGACCTCTTGATTCTCCTCGTTATAAAGAATACATAGGAAAGCAATCCCCCATATGGTACACTCTTTAACCACAAGATGACATAAAAAGCTCTTGATTATGGGAGGCCACACATCAAAGATTATTACCATCCATCCATCTTCTTGTTCTGATTCAAAGTCTCCTGTAAAGGTCCCTCGAGAAGAAAGGATGCCCGAGGGCGCTGTGAGCCGTAAGCCTGGTTGAAGGGTCGTACCGAAGGAGACCTTGCAAGAGATCGATGATGTCGCCCGCCGAGTGATCCACGTGTTGCATTACTAGATTCTGCCCAAAAGCAATTGCATAAATGGGCAACCACCAAATGAAACAAAGTCAGCTTCACTGAAGGAAGAGCTATATACCTGAAGACGAGGCAGCTTCATGACCGCTTTAATGCTGTCACGAGAGGTTGCATTGTCAGGCCAATCCAATCTACCTCTTCTCACGTACTTCTCAGCGTGTCGACTGTAGATGAGCACAGAAACGGAGCAAGACAGAGAGAGCAATAAGCAAGGGAATTGCTTTATTCCATGATGGAAAAATAGAAACAGGAGAGAGAGAGAGAGAGAAGACAAACTCCACTCGTTTCAACATCTGCTGAGGCAATGGACCTAACACTCTTTCCATCATGGCTAAATGCTCCAAGTTATCGTGGGTCTGGAACAATGCTTCCCCCTGGAATTTTTTTTAGTGCTTTAGCATCTAGAAAAAGTAGAAAATGTGCCAATCCAAGGCTAGAAAGTGATCATCCTGGGAAGCCGTGAACTTACTGTGCATAGTTCTACCAATATACATCCGACACTCCATATGTCACAAGAGTAACTCCAACCAAGGCCTGCAAATTGGAACAAGCTATTGATATGAGTCTCACTATCGAAAACAAGGACAGAAACTTGGTTTAAGGAGGTAAGAGATTAGCATTACCGAGGATAACCTCGGGCGCACGGTAATGTCTGGTGGAAACAATATAGTTGTGATGCTTATGGCCATCAGCCGTGCTGCCAAAATCAATGACCTTAATGGCACTAGACTTCGGCAACCTCTTGTAACAGGCTGCCTCACTAAATGAATGTACTGGAACCTAAACAAGCACCAAAACTAGATTGATGTAAAATGGAGAAGCAGGAGAGAACTTATGTCATTATTAGTAGTATACCAAGGAATGTACCTTGTAGTCAGGAATTTTCACATAATCTGGAGAAACAAAGAGTATATTCTCTGGCTTCAGATCGGTATGGACAAGCCGCAAGTCATGCATAACTGCATAGTTTATGGTATAGAGTCAATACTAGTATTCAGAAAGTATCCAGCTTCCATGCTCATATTACTTCATTATTAATCCTTGAAGTGCGGAAAAAAGGAGAGTGAAGAAGATAGTGAGGGGAACTAGGAAGTCCCCATCATAGGAACAGCTTTAAATTTAAGTTTCCCTGAACAGCATAAAACATGCAGCCCAAGAAACTTGAAAAGCATAATAGATGGTGAAAGGGAAAACATTTACACACATGCTACACATTCCAAGAGTTGTCTGCCAAGCTCACGGACAAGGTCAACTGGAAATGGTCGATAACTATTTTTACGAAGAAAATCGTATATGCTTGGTCCAAGCATCTCAAAGACCTGTTAAACACACATCATTTTAAAACCCATCGTCTCAACCCCCTGAAATTGCACAGAAAGAGGCTATTAATCAAACTTGGCTACATTAAACATTGGATACTTACAATGCAGATATGGTTCCGGTAGTCAAACCAGTTTCTTATTTGTACACAACTGCAGAAAAGAAAATTATTTGACTCAATACTCATGAAAATATAAAATAAAATAATAACACTATGCTCAAGCTGCTTTAACAGAGGCAAAACTCACCGGCTTCCATTTCTATCATACTTTCCAAGCAACTGGAGCGCATCAATTTCGGACATTGCTGCCTCCCGGTATTTTTTTATACTTCTCACAACTTTTACAGCGACCATCTCTCTTGTTTCCCTATCCCAGCATTCCAAAACCTGACCAAAGGTTCCTGGAAGAAAAAGAGAAACTATTTAAATATGCCAGCCAAGGAAGAAAGGTCCCACTATAAGATGGCAAGATATCCAAGGAGATCAAACCTTCGCCAATTTTCCTATGGATCTTATCTGCAAGTAGATAAACAGAAGATCAATCACCAGGAGAACCACAAATGTATAATTATAGAAGACTAAACTAATAACCCACAAGAAACAAAATTGAAATATCCGGAAAAGGGTGGACGCTGCTAGTGAATCCCAAAAAAAATTGGTTTGCTTCGTCTTAAAAAGAACAGATCACAAAGCAGCTTTCAAATGCTTAATTTCGGAAAAACAAAACAAAAAATTTCAAACAAAAGACATATCATAACACTCAATAAAGTTAGACCATGACTCTCTTAACGATCTAAGCATACACTTTTAAATGAAGGCTTTGAAAAAAGAAGGGTTGTGTAAATCGGGGTATATATCTTAGGTTGCATGAAAACAATTTCAAACATAACATAATAGCCTGCTAAGTGGTGATTTAGTGAAATTACAGCGAGGTGTTAAATTCTCTCCAAGAGCAAACATGTAATGTCCATCTTTGTCATCATCTCGCCATGGGGGAGAGCCTTTTTGAGCCAATCCTTTTAAATATAAACCGGAATGGTCTGTGAGTAGTACTCTTGAAGGTCCCATGCTCGTCCCATTTCCAACATCTTGTCCAAAATACAATCCTGACTGCGCCTACACACAGCCATTCATTCATTTTCCGCTAAACAAACAGTAACTAATAAAAGGCCACTCCTCCACAAAAATTCACTATTGTCAAGAATGCTTCCAGTTTGCTCAACCCAAACAACAATGTCAAAGCTTTTAGGCAACACTAACTTGTTATCAGCAAACTATTCATGTCTAGCCATAAGAACCATAAATCATAATAGCCAGAAGCATCTTTCATACATAGACCAGAGTTATTTGACATCCCTCAATGATCCAACTTATATAGAAGCTGGATAGTTCATCTCATGAAAGACTGATCCATTCGCACTTTTACACTTTCAGCATTTAGAAATCAATGCTACAGATTTCAGGCAATGGAACCATTCTTCACAAACCCGCCAAGAATCATTACTAATTTTTACACATTTTTCCAAAACTTCCAGAAGCCCTCCAATCCCTTTTCTCTCCAAATACTTCCATCTCACTTGGAAGCAATAAATCAGCTTTTCATTCAACAAAATTCAGCTAGAATCTCATTTAAACAAGAACATCACAATATAAGGGAAGGAAAACCCCTGAAGCTTCAATCATAAGATCATATCAGCAATTGTCGATACCGAGAATCGATGACCAAATGAAGAGAGACAAAAAGGGAAGCTGTTACCTTGGGGTGAGCTTGAGGGAAATCCCAAGCGAATCTAGGTCTCTTTCTGGGACGACGATCCATGTGATTATGAGGGAACTCAGCGACGTAGTCCGTCTCCATCAGAGGGTGAACAAAACCCATAACCCTAATTCATCAGTAAAGCCAGGAATTGAACCAATTCACTTTGGGGATCAGATTTAGAACAACGGATTTTGCCCTAACTATTAGAGAGAGATTTTGTTCTTCGGCAATTTTCTGTTTCTTTATTTTTCTTTTCCGCTCCTTTCTGATTAGTTGATTTCCACCGTTAGATTAGCTTCTACCCGAAGTTCGGTTCGAACCTACTCGATATTTAACCCTGGTTAAGTTAAGCTATTTTCTCACGCAATCTAATAATTTTTAATTCCTCCTCTCTAGTCTACCGGATTTTCTTATTTTCTCTTTTCCTCTTCGGTGGTGGATTAATTCCTTAAATATTTTTTTTGGGTAAATTGCAAGGTTGGTCACTGAAATTACTAAAAACGTTTATTTTTGGTGATTAAAAATATTTAATTCCATTCGTGGTCACTAAAATTAATTAAGTGTTTCAAGTTTGGTCACTCTCCGTCCAACTCCGTTAGTTTTGTTTGATGTGGCAGTCAACTTAAATAGTTGACTGTTAAATATATGATGTGGCAATTAAAAATAATAAAAATAAATATTTATAATTTTCCACCTCATTATTATTATATTTATTAAAAAATAAAAATATTCATTATCACAACCTTCCAATTCTGTCCACAAGATTTCATCCAATTCCATTGAATTCCCAGTCCCCTCTATTTTCCTCCTTTGAACGACGACGACCACCTATTGGGGAAGAAGAAGCGGCGAGGGAGGAAGAAGAAAACGATGGCTCGAATTCGTAGATCACCTCCGGAAATGGGTGCTGCCATAGCTCGATTCAAAGGAAGAAGAAGCGGCGCCAAGGGAGGGGGCGAGGGGTTCTGGCCGCGGTGTCGGCACTGCGACAGATTCGTCTCCTAACGTGGCGGTGGCTACCGCGGTGTCGGCGTCGCATATGCCCCAGAGAGGGACGGGTCGAACGAGACGCGGATCGACGACTTCCTGCTCAATGCTCATCGGAGAGCCGACGTGATGTTGTGGTTGTTCGGCTGGCGCCTGTCGCCAACGACCTTGAGCTCTTCCAGGTCCACGTCGAGCAAGATCTGGCCAGATTTCTGCTAGCTGAGGAACTGGTGAATCGGCCGGGTGGGCGTATCCTCTTCCGCGGCGGGGCTGGCTGCTGCTGGCTCGAGCGATGTGGGTGGTTTAGTGGATTTCTGAATCAAGAAGGACTGATCCTGCATAGACGGACATAAGCTGGAGCTTTCCAGTCTCGATTCGAAGAAGCATTCGATTCCTGCAGAGAATGATAGAAGCACGAGTTCGCCGAACCAGGAAGGGCACCGATTCCATGAAGGGTTTCCTAACCAGGAAGTGAGAAGAAGTCAGCAAGTGTCCAAAATGCGAAAATACAGAGTTAAAGGTCGCCGGATCTGGAACTCGTGCTTGCCTCCGGGGAAGGCGGTGACGGATAGAAGGTTTGATTTATCGGTTACGGTCGTGGCTGTTCGGACTTCAGATGAGATCCTTCAGTTGGCAATGGAATCGAGAAGGCGGGTGGTGGTTGCCGTTCAAAGGAGGAAAACGAAAAGAGGACTGGGAGTTTAATGGAGGAGGACGAAGATCTTGTGGGATAGAAATTGAAGGTTGTGATATATGGAAAATTATTTTTATTTTTAATAAATATTGTTTGAGCCACAGCACCCCCTCAATATTCGGACGTCTCCCTTCTCTGGTGTCGACCTACGCACACAAAGAGGAGGGCGCCTCGGCCCGTTAATCCTCCGACGCCCAAGTTAGTATCTTAAAGAGAGTAGTGTTCTCAAGTAGTATTTAGTGAGAGAGAGTCCAACCTGCGTAAATGCTACCAGCTGCCCCTATTTATACTCACCGAACTCGAGTTGATCCTCTCCACGTCGCTATCCTCATTTAATGCTCTGCGTCCCCTATGTGAGACATCCAACTGTCTTGCCAGGCTCCTGACACACGACAGGCATCCAACTGCCTTGCCAGGCTCCTGACACATGACAGGCGCCCGCAGGCAGTGGTCCACCTGACAGCTGGCCTCAATTTGGCCTTTAGTGTTTTATTCTTTGGGCCCTTTCCCTTGTCTGGGCCCAAGGGCCTCTAGCGGATCAATTCTTTTTGGGCCTTGCCCCCCAACTCTCTTTCTTTGGGAGCCCAAACTCCTAGCTGCTAGGTAATACCCCCAACAATTGCCCCCCCAGTTAGGTGCTCGTGGCTCCGCCTTCGAGCGCCTGACTGAATCTCTAATTGCAGTCCGGCGTCCTCTTTGCTATAGGATGCCTGCTTCTCGGCGCCCTATGCCGTGTTTTTACTTCCTTCCTGGTTCGGAGGGGTGCGTTCGCTCCTCCCCTTTCGCTGGCGGGCGTCTTACCTTTGACGGTGCTCCTTGCCATATGCTCTTCTATGTGCTCCTACGCCTCTTGCCACATAGGGGCGCCTTTTCCAACTCCTCGCTTTCAGGCGTCCGATCCTTGCCTTGGCTTAATGCTTCATGTGCTCCTTCTCCGCGACCCTTTTTGTGGGCGCCTTCTCACGGTGTCCGTCTCGATATGTGTCCCTATCCCTTATGCCCCCCTCACCCACGCTTTGCTTGCCGGGGAAATTTGGAATATCGAATTTAAAAAAGAAAATTCGAAATTGGGAGTTGAGAAATTTCCCCAAAAAGGAAAGGGTGGGGGAAGCTCAAGGGTCCGCTCAAGTTTTGAGGTTCGCGAAAAGGCCAAAAGGTGGGGGAAGCGGAAGGGTCCGTTCGGGATGATTGACACGTGGCACGCGGCGAGGAGGTTTGGTGGGGGCATCCGTTTTTCTTTAAATACCCCTCACCCCCTGAGATTCTGTCACTTTCTTCCATTTGACTTCTCTCTAGGATTTTGCTCTGACCTCTCTCTAGATTCTACTCTGTCCTCTGTCTTCTTTCCTGTCAGTCTTCACGTGCGACACAGCGCTCCCGTCCAAAATGTCTTCCCCGCAACAAGACAAGTCTTCAGGACACGGCGCCTCGGGCGCAGGCGCACCTGGTGCGGGTGCTTCGGGCGCGGGCGCCTCTGGCGCGGGTAGTGAAACAAGGCGCCCAGTTCAACGCGGTAAGTGTTCCTTTTTCCTTTGTTAGATTCGTTGAGTTTATTCTAGTCACCTAGGGTAGGGCGTCGCTTACCCCGTGTCCGCGTTGCGTCTGGGTCATTTGTTGGTTTAGAGCGGGCGCCTGCTTCAGCATCTGGTGGACCGTCATCGTCTGCTGGGCCGTCAAGTTCTTCGGCGCCTGGGTTCTTGCCTGCCGATGGGTCCTACAAGATCACTTCATGGGAGAAGTGTTTTCCTCCCGATCATCTTCCCACCGAGACGTCTCACTTACCCTTCGAGGTGGCCGGGCCACAACACACGTCAACCGTCACTTTAGGCCGGGTTCATGAGTTGGTGACCAGCCTCCAACTTCCACGAGATTGGTGGTATGCGCCTCCATCGCCTTTGTCCCGGGTAGGCGTCTGTGGCCCGAAGTGGATCGGGATTTATCAAGAATACTTCCGCTTCGGGCTACAGTTTCCCCTTGACTCGATCATGGAGGGAATCCTGACGACCTGCGCCTGCCCCCTCGGGCGCCTATCTCCCTCGGTTATCACGGTCGTCATTCTGTTCAAGTTGAGGTGCTGGCAGCATAACGTGGAGCCCACCTTCAACCTGTTCAGATATTTCTTCAAGATGGTGCCTCTTGACAATTGCTTGTCTCTCCAGAAACGAAAGAAGCGCCCCTATCATTTTGTGAAAAAGTGTCCCAAGTTGAACTGAAGCTGGTTCAACGGTTTTTTCTTTGTGAAGGCCTATCGGGACTCCTTCTTTGCAAGTGGGGGCGCCTTTGTTAGGCAATGGGGGTTGGGTCAGGTCGAGGCCTTTAGCGCGCCGGTGGTTTTGACGGCGTCGGAAAAGGCCGGCGCCCCATTGATTTGCGAGGAACCCGTGGACTTACGCCCCGCAGAAAACCGCCCGCCCATTATTGAGGCTTATTATAACGATGGTTTGTAGGCGTCTAGGTGCTCTATTCCCTTGTTCCCTTGTTTGTGTTGTGGACTAACTTATTTTCACCATATGCAGGGGCGGATTACTCGAGCATCGCCAAGCTGATGAAGAGTCGGCTGGCTACCATGACGGCGGAGGCGGCCGCGGTGGCGGCTGCTCAACAAGGGGCGCCCCCTCAACAAGAGGCGCCTACTCAACAAGAGGCGCCCGTTCAACAAGAAGCGCCTGCCACTCAATCGCGGGCGCCGGCGGCTGGCCCCAAGAAGAAGAAGAAGAGGGCGGTGAAGGGTGGCACCGCTCGTGCGCATACAGCGAGCGTGGCATCTTCCGCTCCGGAGGAAGGCGAGGGGGAGCCTAACTCCGAACCCGCGGAGCAGGAGGTCAACTCCGCGAAAGAAGAAGAGGAGGAGCCTTTGCTCCGAAAGGGGAAGAGGGCTGGTTCCCCCTTAGCCTCGGCCAGCAAAAGGGCCGGTAAGGGAAAGAGGAAGGTGGGCGTCGACGACGACGCCTGCGACGAGGTGGAGGTGGAGGCGGGGGAGGACGCCCATCTACACCTCAACGAAGAGGGGCGCTACGTTGGCCCCGACGGGCGCCCGCCCATCTTCCGGCCACGGCGGGCCGATGTGGGGCGTGTTAACATGAACTGCTCCCCTTTGGTCGCCGTTGACCGAGGGTGTGCCATGGGCTTGGCGATTGCGGCTGCCAAGTCATGGCAGGTGCCGTCCGAGGTGAACGGGGATCACCTCTTTGCTGAGCTAGCCCAAGTGGGCGCCAAGGTACGCGCTTTTTTACTTGTGCTTTCTGGAAGTTAAGGGAATGGTTTGGTATTTGCATAACTTGCTGATTTCTTACTCACTGTTGCAGATCCTTCTCTTTGCTGAAAGAGGCGCCCGACGCCTCAACGAGACCAAACGGGAGGCGCTCGAGGCGTCCTCTTCTGCCTCGCAGCTGAAGTTGGACTTGGAGAACGCAACTGCCCGACGTGAGCAGTTTGCGAAAGAGTGCGAGGACGCCCAGATGACTGCGACCATGGAGGTGTCGCGGCTCCAGGGCGCCCTGGACGAGGAGCGCAAGAAGTTGGCCGACCTGCAAGCTGAAAAGGAGGCGTTGGCGCAGGAGGCCGGTGCCCAGGCCAGCGAGATTGACATCCTCAAGGAGGA